CAAATCATTTGTTGTTCCGCGATAGATGGAGATAGTGCAGGAAGAGCCTAGCTGGTATATGGAAATTACTGATTCCTAGTAAGATATGTTGTTTTATATTGCTTATGTCATTAAAAAGATCGCTATTGTTGATGCATTTATGAAGTGACGAAAGATAATATCTAATGTTTGCTTGTTATGTAAAGAGGGCGGTGAGTCAAATAACCACCTTTATCTAAATTGTGCCTTTATTAAGCATATATGGGGATGGGTTTTTGGATTATTGGATATTAATGTGACACTTTTAGAGGATGTTGAGGAGATTGTAGTGTGGGAGGTATAGAAAGAAAGAAATAGATGTTGATTTGAGAAGGTCACAAAAGAGGCAAAAGTGGTGAGTGAGACCATAAGAGTGGAGATTGCTTTAATGGATTAAGATCCAACTTGAGTTTTGGGAGTTGGGTGGGCTGGAGTTATTGTATAATTGATATCGTGAGAGATCTATGGTGCTGGAAAGGGTATCTAATTGGGAAGCACCTAATAAAAGTTTTATTAAATTGAATTTTGATGGTAGTTTATATAGAAATCTAGGGAGGGTGGGCATTGGTGGAGTTGTAAGGGATCATATGGGATGTGTTTGTAAAGAAGTATTATGGGCCTGTTGGATTTAAAACAACAAATGAAGCTGAGATGAGGTCTGAGCCGCAAAGAGTGATGTTGGTGTTTAGGCCGGGAAGTGATATTGTGGTGGAAGGTGATTCTATGACTGTGGTGAAGTAGAGTGAGAAGGAGTGGGAAGCTCCATGGCAGTTGAGAATATTACTGCAGTAAGTTTTAGATTTGTGTGAAAGAAGGAATGTTACTTTTGTACATGCTTATAAGTAGAAGAATATGTTAGTTGATTAGTTAGCAATAGGACTAGATGCAACTGAGTTGATTGTTTGTTGAGGGGATATAAAGTTGGAGATTTAGAGTTATATAGAAAGGTGGAATAGGATGGAGAAGGGTATTGATTTGAGATGTAATTTTTTTGATTCGTCATCCTTTTCACGTTTATATGTTGTGTAACCAATGAATGAAACCAATGAATTGTAATTGATCTCATCAATAAAACTTGTTTTCTTCTGGAAAAGAAAAAGCAGACACCCTGTGTTTTGATGTTGGATCTCTCTCTTGGGGAAAAAATATGATACCAGTGGGGCTTCTTGGGATAAAGATGAAACTGAAAAAAATGCTTTAAAAAGTATGTGGATTGGTGGTCGTCCATGTAGGGTGGCCAATGGTTTAGATGAAAGTTAGACTCATGTGATCTAGCCGGAGTATATATTCTTTTATTTTTATTTTTATTTTTTTTTATTTTTTTATTTTCAGCTTAGATCACTCACAAGTAGTTCATTACAATAAATTGACTTCAAAATAAATAAAGAAAACAAATCTAGAATCTATAAACCTGATGTCACTAAAACATCTTTTTATTAATCAAAGAAAACCATAACAATATGTTTGGAAATAATAAAAATCATTCGAAATAAATATGGCAAGAAAAAATAAATAAATGTTGGAGATTACCTCAACCGGGCTTATTACACGGTACACCGAGTCACCACCTTCCAATGGTACGGAATCAATGGTCAACCTTCAATCTCAAACATGGCAAAACATATAGGCTAAACCCTCCAATAGAACAAGAACTTATAACACAAATATCAAATCTCAAACTTAACTTTACCCATTGATAATCTAGTTGAGAGAGATAACATCTCATTATTAAACCCTTAACCCTTTTGGCCATGTGAGAGATGGGAGATGTGAGAGATAGCTTTTTCAAGACAAGAGAGAGAAAGAGTTTTCAACAGGTCGGGTGTACCCCCTTATCATGAACTAGAGAGAGTGAGAGAGAGCTCTACTAGGGCATGCCCCTCTATTGTCTTATGGGGAGATATTAGATTTGTTTGAGATATGGGTAGGGGTCACCCTTTTATATAGTATTTTCATGGAGTTAAGGTTTCTTAGGGTTTTCATATTGTTTGCTTCTTTAATGAGATTGAATATGTACTATTGATCTTAGGTGACTTTTGAGGTGAGAGATATGAGCCCTTCATTCCATATATTAGCCATCAAGATTATATGGAATGTGCTATAACTTTTATCTTCCATTTTCTAAACCAATTTTTCATCAATTAAATAAAATAAAAAAATATCAATAATAATATTGTACTTTCTTACTCTCATGCACAAGCCTCCACACACTATCCTTATTTGATTTCAAAGCTTCCTCACAATCAATCTTTCCATAAGTATATTATCTTCTCCCTCAAGCCATATGGTATAAGTTAATAAAATAGAAAGTGAGATAAGGTGGGGCGTGCCACCTTATGTGGCACTCCATGACCCCCCACCAAATTGTCATGGGGGGCTCAATGTATTATTGGGCCTCCCATACAATATTAAATAAATTATTATTTTTATAATTTTATAAAATATCATTTGAATAATTAAATCAATGTAAAATCAATATCTATGATTTTTTATAAATCCAAATTTTATAAATAAAATACCTAGATATTCATAAAAATTCAAACAACAATTTTAAAATTTAAATAAAATTAAAACAAATATAATTAAATACTTTTGATGGGAAATAGATCCATATAGTCTAGGACTAAATAAATAAACACTGGAGCACTCCACCTTCTACTATGGACAACGTTTTATACTTGTTTTCTCAAACTGACCCAGTGTTTCCTATGATCCACAGTCTATCACAATAGCTCATTAGTGGGTCACCAAAGTCAGCCATTGGGAAAGGAGTCGTAATCCCAATATGTGGATTTTAAGTTTTGCCTTAAAGATGTACCAAGGTCATTTAAACCTCATGCAACTACAACTCTATGGTACATATAGGTAATCTCTCTCGCATGCACATGTTTCACCTTGAAAAGTAGTTCACTTTCCCGATACAGTTATCATATGTGCATACCGTGAGAAGGTATGCGGATGAGGCTTTGACTCCTGTCTCTGAGGGCCACCATTATACACAAGGGCCACACAGACCTTCGGCTCACTCGTCCGGGCATACTCAGATCTCATCAAGGTATGACCTATTATAACCCTTATCGGTTAAATCTTTATGCTCAGTTAACATAGGTTTTTCCCAACCGACTTGCCTAGCACGTCAAGCTCAGCCCGATATCAGCAAACATCATTTACATAGTATGGTCCACTCAAGACCACACTCCCACTGATTTCAATTTCCTTTATATCTAATGTGCAGTTACAAACCCTCATAAAGCCTTTAATGGCCACACACACCCAACATGAGACCGTGCCACATGCTTTTGGGCTGGGTCCGGGTTTTGGGTTTGCGTTTTCATACCTGGTTGGCATTAACCGTAATGGCCCAAAGAAAGCCCAATAAATGAGGCTTGAAAGAAGGCTATGGTTGAAGGGGTTCTAGGGAAGGAGATGAAGAAGCCCATAACATTGGTTCTCTCTAAAGCTTTGTCATAGGTAAGGTGGGATATTGAGATGGATTTGAATTGGGGTTCTGGGAAAGGAGATGAAGAAGCCCAGTACATTGGCTTTCTCTCTAGCTCTTTACCAGTGAAACGAAAAAGAAGATTGTGAATTCCCCAAAAACACCAGAGTGGACAATGTAGTTGGGTTGGGCTGTATATGGTAGAACCTCGTACTTGCTATAACTCTCAAGATAGCCTTTAATATTAGCCTTTTATGGCCCAGATAACTGTTTTTTTTATAGAGGGTTTGTCTTTTATGGCCCAGATAACTGGTTTTTTTTTCATAGAGGGTTTCAGGTACTTCAAAGGTATGCTTGAGAAGTTGTCCCTACAATCGGGGAGTACGAGGGTATCCGGGAAAGATATTTTGTCTCTAAAAAGCGGTGCGGTTTGCATAAGATTGCAACTTTAAACAATAAAGAGATGCAATTTTAATATCTAATTATAAAATCTAAAAATGGTTCAAATCAAACTGATTTATAAACACATAAAAATCTTGAAAATGAACAGTCCTAATAATGTGTTGCAAGCCGTACTATTTTTAGGATTTGAAATCTCCTTTCTTTTTTCTTTTCTTTTTTTTCCGTATATGTACATCTTGATGTCTAGATGATCGATTGGATGCTTTTTCAACATTAAAACAGCTTGTTTTGAAGGGTTTTAGAGGTGCACCTTGATTCTATATTTTAAAGTGTCAACCTTATATAAACTTTTTCTATTTTTAAATTAAGTAATAAATATAGTATTTTGGAAGAATTAATAAAAATGTGTGGTTTGCATAATCTTGCAATCTTAAACAATCAAAGTAAGGCGCATATGTAAACTTTGTCATTAAATGTAACTTTAGTGTCAAAAATTCTTAGGACAACCTAAAAATTTAATTTCATATCTAATTATAAAATTTAAAATTTCAAAAATAGTTCAAATGAAGTAAATCAATAAATATATGAAAATCTTGAAACTGAATTGTCAAAATAATGTGTTACCAAATGTATTAATTTTGGGACTCGAAATCTTTTTTTTTTTTCTTTTTTTTCCGGCATCTCGATGTCAAGATGATCAATTGGAGATTTTCTAACATTGAAACAACTTTTTCCCATGAACTTTTACTTTTAAGATGCATATGTGCGGATACAGGTATTCAATTTGCTGAATAAATTTCACATTTCCGTTTGCCTTCATACGTTGTGGTCTAAGGCCTTGAATATTCAATTTGCTGAATAATTTTCACATTTCCGTATTGGTCTAAGGCCTTGCACTAGATAAATGTCCATCTTAAAGTTCGCAATTTGCTAATTGCTCTTTAAAATTTTGGCATCAAAACCACCTCTTCTAGTGAATGTTTTAAGGTGGGCTCTAATTTGATTGTTTAGATCCTCAGCTCAATATAAACATTTTCCAGGACAAATAAATCAACATTTTCCATCTTGTGGATAAATAAATCAAGCAAATGTTATTTTACTGCAAGTAGGAATCCCACATTACATACAAACAAATCATGAATCAACACACAAAACCAATAATTGGGAAAACAAAACAAGAAAAAAAAAAGGAGGGGAGAATATGAATATGCCTAGGCTTGTATGCATCAATACTTGGGGAGAGAGCACTCTTTAGGAAGAATGTTGTTGAATCTCTTATTGTCTTTGCAGTAATCGTAAATGAGGTGATACTTTATTGCCCATTTGAAGAGCTTTCTTTGCCTCCAATTGAGAGTGCTAAACCTCTCTTTGTTCCACCAATTGGTTTCACTATCTGTCCTGCAAAACCTTGCATTCCCTCTCCAAACACATGCATCGATCTTGTAATTCCTAAATGAGGCAATGAAAGGCCCCTTAGACCAATCTATCTTGTCATGCCCACCTCTTGTTGCCCAACTATCCCCATTCCATAGACTTGCCTTAATGCTCATAGGCTGCCTTCTAGGGAAGGGAACCCCCTTGTCTGCATGGTTCCTATACACTCTGATAGGAACCCAATCTACCATGAAACTGCACCACAGAGAGTAATCACATGACCACCATACACCGCAATTGTGCTTTCTTTTCATTTTAGAGTGTATAACTATGATGCGAAAGTTTGATCAGTGCGCTGTGACTTGCCCAAGTCCTCTTGGGTAATGGCCAAGTATTTGACGGTTGGTTGCGCAACCCAGTGATATAAAAGAAATTTCAAACAGAATCTAAAAAGGTTTTTAAAAATGTTAGATTGTCTTTTTATCTATAATTTGGATGTATTTGGAGAAGATTGTTACAGTGTTTTTTGTTGTAATCACTATTTTTATATTTTTCTCTTTTTTGGATTTTTTTAAAAATGTCCCAAACTATAAATCTGTTTTTTCCTAATTATGATTTTTATCTACATTTCTCAAGTACTTGTACTGCTTTTTTTTAAAATTTTCTTGTGTTGGAGCTCTCGAGTAACTCGCCTCAGCCAGGGAGTGACTCCCTTGATTGAGGCGAGGCCTGACACATGTTGATTAGAGTCTAGTGGACCATACAATAACATAGTCTATTTGGATCATCATTGTTTAATAAAAAGTTGGTGTTGGGGGAGTGTGCTCCACCAATATAAGATAGCCCAACGGTTGGTACCACGGTCACTACAAGGCTGAGCAGGAATGGCTATGGGAGGAAGCGAGAACGGTGGATCGAAGGGTGACATTCAAGGAGCGCGCTCTGTACAATGTATTTATCTTGGAGTTGGATCCCATATATAAAGGATCCCGTTCCCAACGCCCATGGTAGCGAGATCACATTTCTTAAGGACTGTCGTTCCCACTTCTCATGGGATCTCGACCCTAAATACTTAGGGACCACAATCTATATTAATTGGAATCCTCAATACATAAATATAAAGGGTGACAGTCTCAAGGCTCATAAATATAAAGGGTGACAGTCTCAAGGCTCACAAAAACTAGATCCCATTACGAAACAACTGGGGTTGGGGTTCCATGTTCCTATTGTGTTAAATGCTTTAATTATTTTAATTCTTGATATGATTATACATTTTACAACTCTAGTAGAAATCTAGGTCATTTAATTCTTGATGCGAATAAGATAGAGATCAAGATCCACAAATAAAGGGATCGAGCACCGTGATTAGGTAGAATCGAGGTCCCTACAAATAAGGAATCAAGATTCTATAAAAAACGGTCGAGCTCCCCTTGAAAAACAAGAAAACGACTTCCGGTCGAGATTCTAGCTTCGGAGCGTGGGATCTAAATACCGGAGTTGGAAGCATTTTTAGATTCTGTATATATTTTTAAATTTTTTTTTTTAGAATACCCGAACAATCACCAAAACCGGAACGTGGGTTCCGATCTAACCAAGAGGTACAGGTTAGAACAGGTGATTTTTCCAACAATAGCCGGAACCATGACCCCTAGGGGCGCACCGCACCCGATAACTATGTTCAGTACCACTCTCTATCCATCACCATTCATTAACCCAAATGGGCTATTGTTTTTCAATGGTCTATTGGTAATCGGAGAATAGCATACTCCCCGATTATGGTTAAAATGCAAAAGCATGGGCAAGTTGATCTGACAAGGCCATCAGCCCAATCCAAATGGATTAGAATTTGGAATGGATGACGAAGATGAATTACACCCTGCAGGAAAATGGAATGGAAAATAAAGATGGGCCACACCATACTGAGATTACATGCCCTGTTTTCCCTGTATGAGACATGGGGCTAAAATTAACAAATATGTTGCAGGAGAGAAGCACTCACACAATCTGATGAAGATTCCATAGGATTGAGTAAGTGTGGAAATCCTTGGTTGGGTCAAACCATAGATACATCCTCTCCTCTCTATTATCGAACCCATCTGCAAAAATGTTTGTTTGCAAGATATATGGTTGCCCTGTTACATTACCCAAAAATTCGAAGTCCAATTCATCACGGTTTGGTTGATCCGATGTCAACTGCCGAATCAGCCAATTAGGTGTCAGAGACTAATTGTTCCACTCTCCATAAGGAAAAGTAGGTGGATAAATATAAATGGCTTCATGGATAAACTGACAGAGTTTTGTGAGGTAAGAACTACTTACATAGTATGCAACAACTGTGCCCGCTGAATGGCCAGAAACCAGCTTGATTTGCATGTCTATCTGTCCGAATAGGAACATGTCATTTGAGGCGAAACCGGAGCCTGAAAAACATTTTGTAGATTAAAACCATGGTATGATGCTTTGATTAAGAGCTACGATCTTACAAATTGATTGTCTTGTTGTTTACCGGATGACTGATCAAGGATCAGGCTTCTCTCATGTTCATCTTTTGATGTGTTCACATGATTTGGAGAACATGTAATATAAAAGTCCTTGTTAAAATCTCCAACTGACACAACAGAAGCCATGGCTAAACTAATTACATTGGCAAACAAAATTGAAGAAACCACCGTAATTCTGCAACTTTTGGCCATGATCACAACAGAATGTCGAAAAGGGTAAAATTTCAAAGAAGAAAAAGAAAAGAGAGAAATAAAGACAAGCTCAAGACATAATGGGCATATGGGTTTCCATTGCAGAAGGCAATGTAACAGTGAGAATTTTATAGTGCCATTGCTTTAGTTGCAGGTATGCTTATATATAGAATCACAAGGTATTGAAAATGTATTGAGAAGAGCAGACATAGAAGCAAGGAAGATTTTACGGGGGAGAAGCATATCTTGAGATTGAAGCAAAGGAGGATTTGGGTTTTCTGGTTACAACTATATAGGCCATTTTCTGGTTCCCTTATTGACTGTGTTAGAATGGTTTCAAGGATAAGTTTGGGAAAGGTCGAAAAGGAGTGAAAATGTGTCTCTCTTTCGACCTCTTTTTCCCTCCGTTGTTTCACTATTTAGATTTCAAGATACCAATCCTTGCCGTAATACCGTTGCCTTTCTGCTGCTGTGTTGAATTGACTTTATGGCTGGAATAACTTGGTTCAGATTTGATACGCATGGGCCCACGTGGAGACACCAAAAAATAAAAAAGTAAAGAAAAGAAGAAAGAAAAAAGAAAAGAAAAAAAAAGAGGTGAGACTTGTATAAAAGCGTCAACCTTAAACAATCACCGTAAGGTGCACCTCAAAATCTTGTTATAAAACGTATTTTAGCCGCATAAACTCTTATGATCACCCAAAATGTATTTTTCATCCCTATTATGAAATTGAAACCTCCAAAAATAACCCAAATATAGCAAATCTATGAACACTTAAATGTCTTGATAATGGACAGTCTAGATAATGTTTTACAAAATATATTATTATTAATATTTAGAATTCAATTTTTCTTTCAAATTCATACATATCGAAATGGAGATATGATCAATTGGATGGTTTACTAGTAACGAAACAACCTTTTCCGATGAGTTTTGAGGTGCACCGACTTGTATGAGGTGGCTCCTTAAACTATGCAAGTAAGTTGCGCAGCTTAGTTGTGTTAAAAGACGTAGGTTCTATGTCAAAAACTACTGCTATGGTTTCAAAATACACATTCAACCTTAATTATGAAATTCAATATTTCAAAAGCCCTACAAATAAATGGTTTAGATATTTTTTCAAGATACACTATTTTTAAGACTCAAAATTCAATTTTTTTTTTTTATATCCATACATCTCAAAGTCAAGATGATGAATTGGAAAGTTTTCAACTTCGGAATGCTATTTTCTACTGGATTTTTTATATGGGAAAGGTTTCTATACTTCCCCTACAGCATACAAGATCTATGCTTGCCCTACCATCTAGCCATCCAAATTTGATCAAGAGAGCCACTCACCGTTTGATCTTAGACTTAACGTCTCAAAGTATTTTATTTTTAGGTTTTTGTATACGAATTGTATGAATATGAAATTTCATATGTGTCATCTTCTCATTGGGCTGCACCTATAAAAAATATTAAAAATAATTGTTTGATAAATTATAATGATCGAAATACCCCTAATATTTTTAGGGGTATTTTGGTCATTTTATTTTATTGGAAATTTTTGTTATATATTTTTAGCTAGTGCAAGTTTAATAGAGGATTGGACGTACAAAATTTGGTATCAAAATAGTTTATAGAAAGATAAATAAAAATAAAATAGTATACAGATGTGACATTGTGATTAGGGCAATCTTAGCCCTCCATTCAGGATAGACAGTTGGATAAAGGGAAGTATATAACTTTTATATTGTAGGGGAAGTATATAAAGCTTACCCTTATTTTAATTCCAAAAGACATAGGCGAACCCTTAAATGTGCAAATGTGGCGGTAATATGATATTCCACGTACACTTGAAAATAGCTTTTCCTTTTAGAAAAAATTTATTGCTACAACTTTTTATTATAGAAGCAAGATGCATATCAAAAGGGAAAGCTTTCTATGCTTCCTCTACAACATAAAACTTATATACTTCCCTTTATCCAACCATCCATTATGAATGGAGTGTTAAGATTGCTCTAATCACAATGTCACGTCTCTACACTATTTTATTTTTAATTTTTTTCTATAAACTATTTTGACACCAAATTTTGGACATCTAATCCTCTATTAAATTCGCACTAGCGAAAACTATAAAAACAATATTTTAAATAAAATAAAATGACCAAAATACCTTTGAAAGATTCAAGGGGTATTTTGATAATTATATTTTATCGAAAAGTTATTTTTAATATTTTTTTATAGGTGCGCCCCAATGAGAAGATGGCACTTACCAAATTTCATATTCATACAATTTGTATAAAAAAAAAACTAAAAGTAAAATACTTTGAGACGTCGATCTAAGATGAAACGGTGAGTGGCTCTCTTGATCAAAATTAGACGGTTGGATGATACGGGAAGCATAGATCTTCTATGTTATAGGGGAAGTATAGACACTTTTCCTTTCTCTGATTTATCAAATAGCCCATGTTTTAAAACTTTGAAAACAAAGTAAGATAGGAAAGATGGCTATGCCCCTATTTCTTTTCTTTATTTTTTAGGAAAAAGTTTATATAGAACCGAGGTTCTAAACAATCAAATTAGAGCCTACTTAAAAAAATTCACTAGAAAAGGTTGTTTTGATGGCCAAATATCCTCAAATTGATCATCTTGATATCAATATGTATGAACATGAGAAAAAAAAACCGATTTCAAGTTTTGGAAATAATGCATCTTGTAAATACATTTTTGAACCGTCAATTTTTAAGATTTTCATATTTTCAGTCTACTCGATCTACAATCAATGACATTCAGTATTGAAACTATGTTTCTCAATACTATTTGAAGGTGCGCTTTACTTTGATTGTTTAGAGCCTCGGCTCTATACAAACCGCACCATGTTTTTAATGAGACTAATCCAATGGAGGTTTTAAAAGATCTAAGAAAAAAAATGCAAAACTACTATTTTCACTCTTAACAATCCGATGTTAACAAAGGACTCAAATAATTCTTCCCCGTTCTTGACATCGAATTGAACTCGACATCTTCATTGGACCTTGGGCTATTGAGAAGGGGGAGGGGTAATGTAGCATCAAGTGTGCCAGGTTCAACTGCATAACGTAACGCTACTTTTTCGATGTGGTTTACAATCTGCCATACGGAAACAAGTGCCCGGTTCACAACGTCATCACCACCATAACCTTTCGTCTGTCTCACGCCTCTGCTTGTGCTTGTATCCTTAGGCGGCCAACATTCTGACTGGACACTTAGTGCAAGAAATAATAAATTTAAAAAATAAAAATGAAATTATGAGTTTATTTTAAGATTTTTTCACAATATCAAATTTTTAGTTATTATTTTTCAATTGCTCTCTTTTCAAAGAAAAAAAGACATCTCTTCTTTAAATACATTTAAAAAAAATAATGAATAACAAAAAAAAAATGTCCACAAAAAGTAACTTCGATAGCATTGCGATGGCTGGATCTTCTTTGCTCTAATACCGATTAATGTAAGAAGAAATAATAAACTAGAAAAATAAAAAAGAAAACAAATGTTTAAGAGTATACCCTCTTTGATCGGCAAGGGAGTCTCCCCCCTTCCAAGATCTTTTTACAAGATCGAACTCTTTATTTATTCTCACTCTCTATCTTCCTAAAGATACCATTCTTTCATGTGGTAGATAAAGGATCTTATTTAAAAGTAAAAAACTTCCCATAATCAACATTATAATTAACATTTCTTCAAAAAAAACCAAACCTATCCCTATCCATCTTTTTTTTTAAAACTAAACTTCTAATTTTACCCCATAAATCTCTACAACTAAAAAAAACAAGAATAATCTTTAAAAAAACTAAAAATCCAAATAACAAATTTCCCAAGACAAAATATAAAAAGAAAATAAAAAATTATTTTTTTATTTGCATCAACTCTCTCTCACACTCATGTTTCAATGCTTAGGTGGCCAATATTTTCTCTCATGTTTCAATGCTTAGGTGGCGAACATTTTGATCATAAACGACATCTTATTGAGTTGGATAGGTAGATGTCCATCCCTTAGCCTCTCCTTTTGTAAACAAGTGGTCAAAACATCCCAATTAGTATTAGAGGTTTATTTTTTAATTTTTATTTCACTCAAGTACTTCCATGAAATTATGTTTAAAAATTCCTAAATTACTCAAGTTCAAAGTTAGGAACTCCAAATAAGTACGGACATTTAAATAATTTTACGACCTAGAGGTCTTTTTCAAATGATGAGAATACCCCTATTTGTTTTTGGGTGGGTCACATTAGACCCTTTTCGGTTCCCAGGAAAAGGTATATCGTGGGGAGATGCCTCTCTGGATTAATATCTCATGGAATTAGCCTCTCTTAGAACATAGGTGTTTGTTGTTTGTATCGCATCTTGTAAGAGGCCTAGAATATGCCTCTCCACTATTTGTATTGCAAAGAAGACATGCCTTCTAGATACTATATAATAGAATATAATATAATAAAATATTAAAAATTTGTAATAGTATAATATTATATGTTATAATATGACATATATTATTATTATATATAAATAATAGTAAAGGGTGTGATTTCTATAAAGTTGCAACGTTAAACAATCCAATTAAGGTGCACTTCCAAATTTTATTATAATATATAAATTTTGATGTAAAATGTTCTTAGGATTATCTCAAAATCAATTTTCATATCTAATTGTAAAATTTTAAACTCCAAAAATGGTTAAAATCAAGTAGATCTATAAATGTATGGAAATCTTGAAAATGTACAGTCTAGATAAAGTGTTGTACATTTTTATGACTCAAAATTCTTTTTATTTTTCATAGTCATATATCTCGATGTCGAGATGATCAATTAGAGTGTTTTTCAACATTAAAACAACATTTTTCGATATCCGTAGTTCTACATTTTAAAGTTGTAACCTTATATAAACTTTTTCCAATAGTAAATAGTATGTATTAATTATATATTATAATATTATAACCCCTTATAATATTCAAATTACTTCTATAGTAATATATAATTAATTATAATTATAATATATATAATTAATATAAGAATGTGGTTTAACATAAAGTTGCAATCTTAAACAATCAAAGTACGGTGCACGAGTAAACTTTATCATAAAAAATACTTTTGGTGTCACATATTCTTAGGATGGTATGAAAATCTATTTTCATAGGTAATTATAAAATTATGGATACTAATA